TACATCTAACTATTTATTTGTCTAAATGTTTGGTAAAAAGAAAAAAAAGAGGACGAGAAGTTGTAATTTTAAGTGCATTAAAGAATTCATACATTTAAAAATATATTTAGAAAGTAGAAAGTTGCTGACTATTAAATGTATATTTCCTCCATTCTCTACCATCCATTCTAAGGAAATAAAGTAAGCAAGAAAATAAGTAATAAATATTAAATCAAAATAAAGGCCAATAGTGCTAATGAGAATAAAGAGGCAGTGTGAAAAGAGCGAGGAGGAACGAGGTAAAATGTTAATTTCAGTGAACCTCACTTTTCTCCTCTGGAAAATAGGGGTCCTAAGATCTACACCATAGGGTTGTTGGTGAGGTTGAAATGAGATAATGTATATATTTAGAAGTTAAAAACAGTGTTCATTTCCACTCCTGTTGCTTTCCTGAGCAGACAGGATCGTACAGTGAAAAAAAGCATGTGAACTGAAATTGCACAGACATTGGTTTGACTTCCGTGCCGTGTAGCCTGTACGCTCTTGGATGAGTTCTTTTAATCTCTCTGAATCTCCGTTTCTTCAGCTGTAAAGTAGATTTTTTTCAGACACCCTTGTAAGATAAGATGAAGCACATGGGCTCTCCCAAGTGTCTTGCCGGTTCTGGAATCTGGATGTTCATCTGTCGGGGAGGAGGAGGGGTGCTCATGCCTTGCTGCGTGTGTGGAGCACGGGCCGCGGGATCCATCACTTCCCTTCCAGCTAATGACCTTCCTGCTGCTTTTCTGTTTGCAGCCATCCTGCAGAGTGCCACACCGGGCATGGCCACCTCTTTCTGTGTCTGGAGGTGCACAGCTGGTAACCCCATCGCCCAGTCCTGAAACTGCTGAGGCCGTCTCGGCGGCGGGGCACCAGGATCGGAGGAAGGCGTCCGGGGGGCCACTGAGTCATGCCTTTCGGCCTGAAGCTCCGCCGGACACGGCGCTACAACGTCCTGAGTAAGAACTGCTTTGTCACCCGGATCCGCCTGCTGGACAGCAATGTCATCGAGTGCACACTGTCGGTGGAAAGCACGGGGCAGGAGTGCCTGGAGGCCGTGGCCCAGAGGCTGGAGTTGCGGGAGGTGAGCGTGTGTGTGGTGGGTGTGTGATTAGGAACTCACCGAAGGGACCAGCCACCTCTCTCTTAAAACCTGCCGTTCTCAGCCTCAGACTTGTTCTCACACCCTTCGGTGGAACGGGCCCTGCTCTGGTGTGAGAAGCAAGGACACCACCTACAGCTTGCACGGGATGGTGGCCTCCCTTTTGTTAACACCTGTGAGGAGGTTTGGGGGGAGTTAAAAATGAGAGACGCTTCTTACCAAAGTCATTTCTGTCTCTAAAGCGATCGAGTGGGTGAGCTGGTGTTTTGGCATTTTGGCTGCATATCAAGGAGAAAACTCCCACATAGGGGATGGATGCAGCTGCTTTTATGTTTTGCTCGTTTGTTTCTGTATTTTCTTCTTGAACGGGAAGAGAAAAGAGAAAAAGCATTTAAAGTGAATGTGACCAGTGAAGCCTTTTGTGGGAGCTTGCAGAATGGGGGTTTTGTTCTTCTAAGATTCCTTATGACCCTGTTTTCTTTGTACTGCTGTGAGATTTCTTTGGGCTAGAGCAAACCCAGGGTTGACCAGTAAGACACATTAGCCCTCTTTACATGAGACTCTTCCTTAGTGCAGTGTGAGCCCTGCTTTTTTTTTTTTTTTTTTTTGGTCTTACAGACATTGGGGAGAAGAGGCTTGGGGAGTAACCCCCGCAAGCATTTGTGTTTTGAGAGCTGTGTGGCTTATCAGGTAGTGGGTATGCTGATGTGGATAAATGGTTGCCAGTGCTGAAATGACTGTAGGCCCCTGAGATTCAAGCCTTCCAGAAGACAAGGAAAAGCTCTATCATCGTCCTAGGCCCTGTGACGTCATTGCGCAATCAATACCTTGGGGTGATGTAGAAGACGGGGTGCTGCCTGTTGGAAGTGATGATGTTTCATCTCCTTCCTCATCCCTCACTCACAATCCACTTTCTTTCCATATGCACAAAGGAATTGGGGTCAGAGAAGGGCGTCTTCTCCCCCTGGCGTCTTCCCCAGGCCACCTCATCTTACCCTCTCGCAGACTCTTCTACCTGAACACTTCTGCCTCCTGCTGGTCTTCTTGTTTATACTTCGGTTTCAGGGATCAGGCCTTCCTTTGAAGTTTAATTTCCTGTGTAGGAGACTGTCCTGCCCAACACGTGTGTGTAGCTGACGCGTAGAATAAACATGTGAGGTGTTCTGACCTTGCCGGTTGATAACTGGCCCTTTTTTGCTCGTCAGTAGCCCACGGAGTATACTTAAACATAGGTATGCGCATGAGCGTAAAAGAACAACCGTACAGTAGCTCATTTGGGCTGGAAACTGGTCTAAATTCTTGTAAAAATTTGAGTTATAGGTCATTTAAAAGATATTCGCAGTGGTTTTACTTTTGAGTATTCTTAGTAACTCACGTTAGAGTAACTGAGTATTCGTAGCATGCATTGGGAGCCCGCATAGCCTGTAGTTAGAAATTACAAACGCAGGCTTTGGAGTCTTGGACTTGGATTTGGATTATAGTCTTCTCACATTAGTTAGGTAACCTTGGAGATTACTGCACTTCTGGGCATCAGTTTTCTCATCTATAAAATGGGAATAGTGACCCTCACCTTACTTACCTTAGAGGGCTGTTGTAAATATTAAAAGAGATGCAGTATGGAAGATGCGCAGTGCTGTCTCTAATACCATGTGGTTATTCCAATCTGAGAGTCGTTTTCACTAAAAGAAAATCTTGAGCAACTGCAGTGCGCCAGGCACTGCTTTAGGGCTCGATGAAACGAGGGTAAACGAGGGTCAGTTTTGTCTTTAAAATATGCAAAGACAAGTAGGGGAATCCGGCCATTAAGTGAACAGTGAAGACTGAATGCAGTCCAGGCCGAGATGCTACCCCACTGAGCACCACAGCTCTGGCCGCGGGGAGACCTCCGTGCAAGGTACACAGAGCGTTTGCTCTGAACAGCAACTCGAAGGACACACAGGAGTCCAGCAAGTGGAAAGGAAGGCAAGGTCGTCCTGG